CAAATCTCTGCGGATGGCTTTTGTTAGTATCTACAATCGTCTTCGGATGATAACTGGACTTATTCGACGACAGACGACAGCCATCTTGGTTTCGGACAGGTTGGAGCCTGGCTCCCTTACACGTTGGACTGTTGTTTGTCAGAAGAACAAACGGGTCATGACTGATGGTGAGTGTTGATGGTATGGCGGCATGAGTGTCATCAGACATCAATGCCGCCCTTCACGGTGTACCACTACCTGGATGGGGTGGGATGAATGAAAAAATTATTCATCTTTTAACGGAGGACGTAGGGGCCTCATTCGACAGAGTGTCGGGGCCTTCTATATCGAGAGTGGTCGTCTACAGTATAATCCATAGCTTCCCTGACTAAAGGATTTTCAATCAAAAACTCGCTGATTTCTCGACTGAATGGACTGCCAAATGGAAGGTAGCTGCAAATCTTTGCGGATGGCTTCATTCCGCACGAACCAAGGAGCATTCACAATCATCCTCATCAACTTATTTTGCAATATCTCCAAAGTGGAGATATTATACGTAGCCGCTTGTCCCCAGACGCCTGAAGCATACATGATGACAGGCTTGAACATCGTGTTGTAGATGGTAATTTTGTGTTTGAGGCTCGTTTTGGATTTCCTGTTGATCAGAGGGTACAGACTAACTATCCGACCCTCGATCTTTGTTTTGACGCACATGACGTGCGGGTTCCAAGTGAGCTTACGGTCTATTAGAAGACCGAGGTACTTTACCCGCGCTTGCCAGTCAATCTTCCTTCCAGAGATTCTCACTTTTCTAGCCGAAGAAGATTTCAATCTTCCTATGGTTATCGCCTGAGTCTAGGCACTCCAGAGAGGATCTCTCTGTTGTCAGACAGAGAGCTTTCTACTCTAACCTGAAATGTTCTGTCTTTCAGGAAAGACCCAATCCACCGGATCAGGCCCCGAGGCAGGTCGAACGTGATTAATTTGTGCAGAAGATCTTCGTACCATACACAATCGAAGGCCTTCGAAATGTCTAACAATACGATATGCACTTTTTTATTAGTATTCAACTCATGGATGGTGTTTTCGACCAGCCTCAGAGCCTGTAACTCAGTGGAGTGTTCTCTCCTGAAGCCAAATTGTTCGTCAGGCAGAACATTTCGGTCCTTAACTTCTTCGTTGAGCCTTTGAAGAACAACTCTTTCAGCCAGCTTAGCCGCCGACGAGAGCAGACTGATTGGGCGATAGTTCTGCAAGAACAGGAGGTTCTGACCCTGTTTTGGGATCATGACGACTATCGCATGCTTCCACCTCTTGGGGAAGTATCTGAGGGTCAACGAGCTGTTGATGATATACATCAGGTTTTCAACGCAGTTTTCCGGAAGCCTCTTCAACAACTTGTTGGTTATTGAATCGAACCCCGGAGCTTTCTTGGCCTTTGCGGCCCTGATGTTACCCTTCAGCTCCTCCACAGAAGCCGAGCGGATGTTATCATCGTCATCTTTCCTGAGGATACGGTGAACCCCATCTTCCAGCAGAATATTGCGATCGATGTCGTCAACGTTAATTTGAAACTGACGATCCATCGTGTCAGCAAAGGCCAACGCTTTGTCGGCGGGGGAGTAGCACACTCCGCGCTCTTCGTGAATAGGTGAGGGAGCAGTCTTCTTCCCTTGAGTCTTCGTGTGACTCGCCAAAGCTCGTCACTCCCAGGTTCAAAGGATTCCAAGAGCTCCTCCCACCTTTCGTTTCGTTGATCAATGATGGCCTGCTTGACTTGGTTGGCCATCCTACTTGTCGCAATTTTATCTCCTGGGAAGAGGGTTCGCTGGTAGAGCCTTCTCAGGCGGTTTTTTTCTCGTATCATGGCTTTGATACGAGGGGAAAACCCATTGTAGCTCCTCAGCGGACACTCCTCCCAGGAGGTGGCCGCTCGAAACGCATCATTCACAGAAAGCTCGAAATGCTCAACTGCCGCGTCGAGTTCGTCAGGAGAGCGAAGTGCCTCAGGAGGGGCGCGCATCTC